GTATAAGGGAGTTGGCTGAAATTCCTGCTTAATCTGCTTTTTTCTTTTCTTTGCCTAGTAGTTTTGTAAATATTAACTATCTTTTTTGCTATCTTGAGGAATACCAGTGGCACAATCTATGTATTTTCTAGAATTATTTGGAGGCCTAAGCTGATCTACAATAGCAGATAATTAGAAAGGTTTTTTTAATTCAAACTACTACTTCTCAGTGGAAAACAGCATCAGTTCATTTTTACCAACAGCAGATGGTAGCATTCTTGCACAAATTCTCTGTTTGCACTGCAGGGTAAAACAAAGCTTTCTGAACATTATTTTTTTGCACGTTGTGAAGCTTCTAGAAGTTTTTTAAAGTTGTCTTATACACACAAATTGATTGATCCTTATGCGTACATTTTCAGCATAAGAACGAAGAAGCGTGCTTCAGCTGTAAGAGACCCTGTTTAATATTTTATAATATAGAACATGTCCTATTTGCTGAACATGACAGGGCAGGATTTGTTTTTTCTTTCTCGGCAAGGGTTTGGAGGAGGGGTTTTCACTGCGTAGCAGGAAGACTTACTCTGGGAGCATCTTCTCTTCAGTGCAAGCAGTTGGCTGCATGCAAAGATGAAATGCCATCACAGAACTAGGGGAGTCTGGTTACAGCTGGATCAGCTTGGACAAGTGGAATCTGTGTTGGAGCATAAATTTAGTATTTCTTCCTCTTTGCTATTGAGAAACTGAGCCACCACAAGAAGTGCATCTGAGGAAAAGGGTATTTACCCAGGATGAAACACGCACCACATAAATCCTTATAGTCAGTCTCTGCCGCAGGTCTGTGAGCAGCATAGCGCAGTGGACCAGGCTCACACAGCTGAGCGGAGAGTGCTGCAGAGGTGGCGATCCTGCTGTTTTCTCCGTCGTGGTCCATGCCAGCTTCTCCCAACCCTGCTGCCTTGCGTTGTGTGCCTCACAGCTGTGGCAGAGTCCTGGGATGAGTGACGTTTAAGCACAGTCTGTGCTGTAAACAGGCTATCGTGACGTTTCTTATTTGATACCTTCCGTGTCTGGAATCCCTTTCTAGCCATTCCCTGCTGTGCTGTTGTGCCCCTTACTGTGCATGGGGATGAGGTAGGATTTGTTTATTTTGGTGCATAAGTAGTAGCAGTGACCTCAGCAGCATTAAAGGAAAATCACTTCCCTAGGGCACGGTGCGAGAGCCAGCCAGATACGCCGATCTCGTGCGACCACCCACGTGAGAGCTGGGGGATCACTGCCGTGGCTTTGTGCTGAGCGCGGCCTTGATTCGGTCAGAGCACGTATGCTGTGGGAGTGCCGGGGGGAGATGAAAGTGAAAGGTTTACAGGGCGTTGGATTGAGTTTTCGGCAGCACCGTGTGCAGTGTGAAGGTGTAGAGGAACAGACAGACTCTTGTGCTGTAGGGAGTGTGTCTGACTGCAAACTTAACTGTAATTTTTTTTTTTTTTTTGCTCAGGACAGTTTTGGCTGGGCTTCTTGGAGAATAACGGTGTTAGGACTTCGTTCTGTAGAATAGCCTAAAATGAGGATATGCCACCTAGTGGAAGTTAAAGCCCTCTTGTGGTCTCTTCCTTCTTCCTCCCCCTCACAGGCTCCAAATTAAATTGTCTGAGAAAATACAAGGACAGGTGGTCAAGGATCTTAAAGAGCATTTCCATGGAGTGGATTTATTTTATGTATTACCTGTGGTCAGGAATTTGTTTACACAGTAGTTTTTCCCACCTGCATTCAGGTAATGCTGATATAGTAACTTCGGTTACTTTCAAAAACCATCATGTTTTAACTACAGCGGTGACATCATTTCCCTTTGGTCCCTGATCTTATATTCCTTATGGTCTCAGATACTAAGCTGTCAATGACTGTCAGTAGAAGAGCAATCTGGGTTAGATTCTGAAATGAAAAAAGTTGCATCAAGGATTAATTGGCCCCTGGCTTTGTCTTTTCTAAATGCAAATGATGTCTTTTCTGTTTTGCTCTGGCATAATAAAATACCTGCTGTTCCCTCTTAGGAGCACCCTTTACTTGGACAGCCATTTTTTGTTCTGCATCCCTGCCGGACTAGTGAATTCATGTCTTCTGTACTGACCGGTTCACAGCACAGGTGAGAAACAGTACTCGGCCTTGCAGGGCTGTAGGTAGCGCAGATAAAGTAAATCAGTGGAAATCATCAAAGTGGAATTCATCAAAACAACTTCCTTGGTGCAAATGGAGTAAGATTGTCACCTAAGGGCTGAAAGTTAAAATACATTTGATACAGATAAAGTGAAAGAACAGCCCCATCTGAAGTTATTTTATGACTGCCAAGTGTGTCTGTAATTCAGAAAAGTTTGAGATGGTATGTTTATGGTGCTTTTTTGTTGTTTGTTTGTTTGTTTGTTTTTTCCCTAGGCACACAAATTACATTATATTGTGGCTCAGTACTGTAGGCCCAGTTGTGGGTCTAAATCTGCCCCTGAGTTATGCAAAACTAGCGCCCATGCAGAATACAAATGCTGATTCAGTTGAAAGGTAAGAGAAAATTAAACCACCTTTTTTTCTCTCCCATCCTCCTATGAAATTAAAAAGATCAGATGAAAAACTGGCAAAAACATTACCTTCTCCCTTGGAGCTCTTGGTTCAGTTTGTTGAGGACTCACCTTTGGTGTTGTGCTCACATGGCTGCCTTATTGCCTTACTTACTTTGCGATGGAAATTTGTGCGGAGAAGGATATGCTTGGCACATTGCTGACACCTGTCATGACTGCCAGAAGGTCCCTGATGTCCTGGGGTCTTTCTCAGGTGTGTAAAGGCATTTTATGGTGGTCCCTCCAGCACATGGTTGGTGGTATGATGTAGCACAACTCTGCTACAATGTTTTTAATTTAATTTCTTCTCTGTTTTCTGTTTGATGTCACCACTTCAGGCCTCTTAGCTGAAGGACAGATGATGGTAAAGCTACTGGAGACGTTCCTAGGGATGAAATCAAACAAAGAAATCCTTCCCCACGGGTAGGCAGTGTGGACTGGAAAGATGGCTGTTCATGGTTCTTTCTCCAGCAAGACCCTGCCTGGTTACAGTGGAAGACCTAGGCGTTGGCTGCAGTTGTGACAACAACTCTTCAAGCACCACAAGACCTGAACTCCCTTGCGACTGCATTGACCCCTTGATGTCATTCATTTCCACCTCCGTTTTACTGTGGTTATGGCCTTAGTAACACTGCACACAAACACACAAGCCTATGGATCCTTGATACAGAGTTGAGATGCTGGGTTTGGATCTACAAAAAATCATGTCTCTAGAAAATGTGCACCATCTGTGAGGGTATGTACAGGAAAATACTTACAGAACCATCGAATCACAGAATGGTT